TTTTTTTTTTTTTTTTTTTTTGTCCCCAAGTAAATTGATTCACCACCACAAACAATCTCTTCCGGAGAACATATAATTTTTCGGCAGAGCAAATTTTTTCTTTCAGTGCAGTGAAACCTGAATTTCCAATTGTTCCGTAATAGTGCATCAAAGGTCACACTCCCTCCGAAAATATTCATATGGATCCCTTCAGTCCCCCCTCGAGACGAGAACCCTTTGCTCCCCTTTAAAAAAATACGCGTTTATATTTCTCGACCGATAGGTAGATCGATTATTCCACAGCCCCAGTCAGGGGTCTATATATAGTGCCGACCCTATACCGTCGCAGGTATCTTTATCGTGAAAAAAATATCCTCCTAAGTGCACGAAGAATCGTCGATGCTTTTATGAATATTTCACTTGACCGTGAGGTCGTTTAATGCAGTCCAATTATCGCAGGTTCATTTTTGGATTTGTTGTTCATTCATTTTAAATAACAAGATTATAATAATTAAATAATTTCTAATTTGACGCAATTGAACTGTCCGTGTAATTAATTATAAAAAATAACCTTCGAGGTAACAGACCTGGTAATAATAACCTCTATATAACCTTCATATGAGCTTTATGTAACCTTGATCAAGAGGGTTAGGCTATAAGGGTCAAAAGTTGTTGAGGGTCATGAGCGGATCTTATGAGGGTCATATGAAGGTCATAAGAGGCCTCGTAGAGGTCATATGAAGGTCCTAAAAGGGCTTATAGAGGTCACATGAAGGTCATAAGAAGGTTATTGCAGACCTTGAGACGAGGGTTGGGTCGTAAGGGTAAAAAACGGTTGAGGGTCATGAACGGATCTTATGAGGATTATAACAAGGTTATAAGAGGCCTTATAGAGGTCACATGAAGGTTATAAGCAGGTCATTGAAGACTTTGATGAAGAGTTTTATGACATAAGTGTCGAAAATCTGTTGAGGATCATGAGCCGATCTTACGAGGGTCATGTGAAGGTCATAAGAGGTCTTATAGAGGTTACATGAAGGTGATAAGGGGGTTATTGAAGACCTTGATAAAGAGGGTTAGGCCATAAGGGTCAAAAAACTTTTCTATTGCTTCTTATTATTACGCGTTTTCATCGAGACTTCCTGTGAGGGCCACATGAGGTTTACATAAAGGCCTTATAGAGCAGCAGGGAGAAGCGCCATATTTAAAACAAAACTATAAATTTTATGATGTCACTTCATCGAATTAAATTTGAATGGAAAAATAAATTGTTCAACTGAATAAAAACAAACGGTGGAAAACCCTCAGTTTTAATTGACGCTCCAAAATTACAAAATCAGTAAATATTTAATTTTATATATCCCTCAGCCATTAATTTTCACCATTTTTTCACCATTAATTTTCTCCTTCACCATGTGACGTAACTCTCCACCTCAATATCTCCCGCAATTTCGCGTACAAGCGAAAGTATATCCATTAGTCGAAGATTCCCTACTGTAATTTCTCATTGAGAGATCTCTCCATTCCGGAAACTGGGGAAAAACAATCAACGTGATTTTTGAAACGACCACTCGAAGTTAATGTCGTTTATATTTACGAGTGATATTAAATAAGGAGGAGAGACAATTTTCCCAATGAGAAAAGTTTTATTTGGAAATCTTCTTGACTTTATTTTCACGAGAGTGGAAGAGTCAATAGGGAGTACAAATAAGTACTGAGGGTGCGTACAAGGTTAGACGTGGTCAGGGATGAAAGAATTTTCGTGGGATTTTTAAAGTTTCTTCGGCGGTAAAGTATACAGATTTAATCCAATTGAATTACTCTATCATAAATAATTAATAATTGAGATATTTAAAAAAAAGTGAATGAATAATTTCTCCATTTTTTTTCATTAATTCTCATTAAACCTTCAGTTTAATTAAAAAATAAATAAAATTAAAAACAGTTAAGGGTCACGAGGGTCAGAACGAAAATCACGAGGGTCAGAATAAGGATGATGGAGGTCATATGGGTGTTGAGCGGAGCAAGCAGGAGGCGTAATCCTCTAGTTATATACTACAGAAACAGATGATGTGCAAAATGACCATTCGGAAGCATATTGCTAATTTATTAGCAAAAAACTATTCTACATCAAAAGAAACGTAATTTTCCGCTTGTTTTTAATTATCTCAACATAGTACCTATTCTTCCTAAGAAAACCCCCTCCAATTCTCCATTGAATCCCCCGACTCAACATTTTCCCGCATATGGCTTCCAAAAAAAAAAAAAAACCGGCGCGCTTCAATACAATCCCCCGACGCTTGCGCAGTTCCGGTGGAGCTTCGAGACAGCTCGTCGCTGCTACAGGCGCATCTCACCACTCCAGTCTGCGGTCGTCAACTAAAGCGGACTCATTAGCTCTGCATGCGCCAGCAGCGCGAAATTTAAATCACCGAGCGGAGAAAAAAATCCCTGAATAAACATCAGAAGACGACAGTAATTAATTCATCCCCTTAATCACCCTCTCCAATCGCCCCCATTGGCTGCCCTCACCCAATTCGAGATGACGATTTAAGAAAATGAAAATAATAATGAAAATTTGTGTGAATTAATGAGTGAAAATTTTGGAGTGGTTGATTTCCCCGAGCACGAGGCCCGCGAGCACGTGAAAGTCAGGTGTAGCCCCTGGGGCGCAGGTGAAGTTGCCAGGTGTGCGCGTGCGTGGTGAAGGCAGCGGGAAACCGAAGCAGCGGAGGAGAATTCCAAATGGAATTGTAGAGTGTCCGCAGAAAAAAAAGCAATTGAATAAAAAAATAAGGGAAAAAACATCTAAATGGTTGACACACTGCTGGTGGAGTTTTCCTCGAAATATCATCCGATGTTGCAGCCGCCCTCGCCACTCCTGGAGATGGCGTCCCTCCGTCTCCCGGACTCGGAGGAGTTTGACAACGAGCCGCGAAGAAGAAACGGCAACGGCGGCCTGACGACAATAGGCCCACCCCTCCGTGTGGCCAACGATGTCTTCGCAAAGACCAAAGACGACATTCGCGATTACGTCAACAATTCACTCACCGATCTCGTGACGGACGGGCCGCGTACATCGATGGACGAACATCCTGGTGTCCTGTTCAATGCCAGTGATCCTGGACACATACCCGTGGAACATGTGCCCGATCTATTCTACCGGCACAGTGTTGCCATGACCACTGTTTACTGTGCCGCCTATTTCATTGTATTCGTTGTTGGTCTTGTTGGCAACAGTTTTGTTATTGCTGTTGTTTATCGCTCACCACGTATGCGCACTGTTACCAATTTCTTTATTGTGAATCTCGCTGTTGCCGATGTATTGGTACTGGTTTTCTGTCTACCCGCTACGTTGTTGGGGAATATACTTGTCCGTGAGTATTTAACTGGTTTATTTATTAATTTGGGGATTTTGGGGGAGGCACTTCGGGGATTGTGGTCGAATGTAATAAATACTTTTGGATAAAAATGAAATCTCAAAATAGGAATTTGGTTTAAATGGGTCACGTCGACTTCGCTCTCAGCTGAGCTTTTGAGGAATATCTCCGAATCGAAGAGAAATAGCGGAATTTTCGTCATGATCTTTTTTGTAGAACAAATTAAGAGCTACAAAGAAAGTTATGACAACATTTTTTCTATCTCCCTTAGATTCCGAGATATTCATTGAAAATGGACTAATAGTCAACATCGACTTTAACCGTTTTACCGCTTCGCTACTGATGCGTAATAATCGCACTTTAATAATTGGTCATCATGGGAATTCTCATGACCCTTAGAGTAACGTGCTTGGAACAAAATGAGTTCGCTTGTCTTACACTGTTGGAGAATTTGGATGAATTATCCCTAAAAAGACCTTGCATTCGATTTAAGGTGAAAAAGACAATAAAATTGCAACTTTCTCCAAAAATTCGGGTAAAGTCCCAATTTTTTAGCGGCAGGAAGAGGGAAATACCCCAATTTACATGAATTTTTAGGTGAAAATGAATATTCATTGACAAATTCCCTTGAATTTTCAGAGAATTCCTTGAAAATTCTGGGAAATCCAGGAGTTTTGAAGGGATTTCTTGGAAATTCAGAGCAATCTGGTATTCAAGGAGCGATTTCTCAGAAGTTCTATGATTTTTCACTAATTCTCCCAGAATAATTAAACTGGAATTCATAGTTCCCACAGATTTTTCCATGAAATTATGAATTTTCAATGACAAAATTCCCTGAAATTTCAGTGAAAATGATGCTTGTTAGGAATTTCGAAGACCTTTCCTAGAAAATCTTTAAGAATTTAGTAATTTTTGTAAGAAATAGAAGAATAATTAAACTAGAATATTTGCTCATGTTTTGTTTATATTTGTCTATAATATTTGTAATCATCGAACTATAATTTGTGGCCATCATGACAATTGTCATGACCCTTACAATAAGTTGTTTTGAACCAAATGAGTTCGCTTGCAAGATCACTGTTAAAAAAATTTAGCTGAATTATTTCTTAAATGACCTTGAATTCGATTGAAGGGGAAAAAGTCAATAGAATTTCAAGATTCTCTGAAAATTTAAGTAAAGTCTCAACTTTTTACGAATTTTTCAAGTGAAAATGAATATTTATTGCCCAATTCCCTTGAATTTTCAGGGAATTCCTTCGAAATTCTTGGAATTCCAGAAATTCTGAGGGAATTCCCTGATAATTCAGAGGAATCTGGAACTCAAGGAGAGACTTCTCTGAATTTTCATAATTTTCCACCAATATTCACTAATTTTCCTGGCATAATAAAACTGAAATTGACAGTTCCCACGTTTTTTTTCATGAAATTACGAATTTTCAAGGACAAAATTCCTTGACATTTCGGCGTAAAATTTTTAACAGTGTAATTCAACAAAGAATCCTCAAACATCAATCCAATGTTTTTCCCCTGCAAATGAGACTCTCGGCGTTTAATTTATTCGAAATCCCAAGTTGAGTGGATCCCCTTAATTTGAAAAGTGTTTACTCAATGTATACATTCCTGAAGTGCTTCGAGGATTCCATAGTTACAACTTTCTGGAGTTTACTCGCCTCGAGGATATCAGAAAGCGGAAACTCTTGGCCTTTAAGTCGTCGGTCCTTTTTCCCCTCCCGGATGGGTTGCGGGGATGAGCCCTAAACTCGGATGTATCCGGCGAAAATTCCGGAGTAATTGCCGGGTCCCTGCAATTCCTCGAGAGGATCGATCAACTCTCCCTTCGTCTCCCCATTTTATTGAATTATTCTTGCCGCTACGGATGGCAGATGCTCGCTCTCATTTTCACTCAGTCTTTTGTCTCTGGACGGAGTAAAAAAGTGGAGAAAAATTACAGAACAAGTCAAGTAATCGTGGAGCCAACTCGATTTTCAGTACTTTTTCACTCTATATCGGTTCAAAAGAGCGAGACGAATAGGGAATTTTTCTCCGTTCGCCCGGACAAATTTATTTTACAAAATACAAGATGTGATTTTATTAAAATACGAAAGCTGTTTATTTAAACTAAATAAATCATTTATTTGAAATGAATAAATGGTTTTTTCAAATTTTTTAATAAAAATTTCATGGACTAAATAAATTGTTTGTTTCATATAATTACATCGTTTTTCATGGAATAAGTAAAAAATTTCAAAAAATGGTTTGTTTAATTAAAAAAAAACATTTTTCTGGATAATTTATATCCAACTTTTCTCTTCGTGTGCCTCTCCAATTTTTTTTCTCCCTCTCCCGAACATTTTTGACTACTCTTGAGTTCCACCAGGACATCTGTTCCGAGGAAATCCATTCGCTTGTACGTGACTACTCCGGGAACTCCCGGAATTTGGTTTCACTCTGGAAATGCAGGTATATGGAGGACTCGGGATGCTTCAGAGAGACTTAGCAAGATGGTTTATACACATTGAATGGGTAGAATGGGCGCCTTGACCTCGTGCAGCACAAAAGCACAGAGGCAGAATTAAAAAGTTTTGTTTGAGGAGAATTTATAAGGTTAAAAAAGTCCTCGGGTTTTCATCTCTCTTAAGCTTTTCAATCTGCTGGGATTCCCAGTCACATATCTGGTGTGTCAGGGCTAACGCACTGATAGAATGATTCATTTATTCCAAATCCATTCGTTAACAATAACTAATCCGTTCTATCAGTGCGTGTGACTAACGGAGTAACAGCTATTTATTCAGTCATAGTAGTATAGAATATGAATTAATGCGACTCATCGAGTAGAAAATGATTGGAATATTCATGAAAAGACATTACATTTGGGGGAAAAAAATTTATGCCGAAAAATAATGAGTCGGTTATTGTAACGAGATACTTAACCTATGTCCGAGTAGCTGAACGCTCATTCCCCCAATGATTTCTGCGTTGTTATCAATCTGAGTAATTCTCATTGCGCTAATAAATAATCTTTAATGCACGTAAATAATTAGTTTTCAATGATTTTCTTCAATTAACATAATATTTATAATTCGTCTCAACTGTCCGGCAGTGGATAGTGGTTCAGATACTCGGACATGAGCGGTTTAGGTAATGAGACAAAGCGCTCACTTCATAAATTATTCCTTCGTTTTAATATTTTCCTAGTATTTTCATAACCAAAAGCGATTGGTTTCTGTTCAATAAAGGTCATTAAACCTTCAAAATGCCCAATCAACGTGAAATATCACCACAATTATTTTCTATTAAATTTTTGAATCATTTCCTCCAGATTCCGAGACATTCGTAAAACATTTACGTGAAAAATTCGCTTGGACTGTTGTTTTTTCATTTATTGTTCTATTCAACTCGAGTTATCATTTCTCGTCGCACTCGAATAACAAAAAGCTGAAAATTCTCGGTACAGATATCGAAAAATATTATCATGTCCCGATACCCGGTGTTTCCACAACTGCTCCGTCCAACCACAAACAATAGCATAACCATCAGACACGATTATCACAATTTTTCCCCCGATCGTAGTGGTTATTTCGTGAGCTAAAGAATAATATTATTGCGTGCATTATACATGTACATCAGCCAGTGTCATTTAAAGTCTTAACGACACATTATCTGAACACTCCTGGCCACTTGTCTGGCGCTATTATGATGCACGAGCGTTGGCTCGTGGCCTTGCCCAAACACTGGGTGCTTGGGTGCAATTCAAATGCTAATTAATGGCTCGATCCGAGCGATTTAACTGCAGAACAAATTTTTTCGATTGATTGTTATCAAATATGAGTTGGAGGATCGTGAATTATTGATGGAACGGTCAATAATAGCGGTGCTCTTTTGTCCATTAGACGTTGGAAAAACAATTTTACCGATGCCGAAATTGAGATTCTGTAATATCGGAGGGAGTGATTGATGAGGTGGCGTTTTTACGTGATTTTTTTGGAGTTGAATCTCCCGGGTTTCTGCATAAATCCATCGGAAATCGATGGCAATCACCAGTTTTCAATCTTCGGGAGTGATTTGGAATTTTGGGATTTTGGGGGAAGTATATGTGGTAAAAAGTAGGGTCTGAGACACTTTCGTCCCGTTTTAGGACGTTTGTGTCTTCAAATTTTATTCATTTTTAGGGGCTGGGATTAAGGTATTAATTTTCATTCTGGAGGTTTTAGGTGTCTGACGCGAGGATCTTGTGCCTCAAACTCAACCAGAGTCTCATTTATTTTTCTTCAAAATTTAACTTTATTTGAAATTTATGATTCTGCAGATGTCTGATCTACAGTTTGGTCTGCACGGAGCAACGGAGTATGTATTGATTCTCAATTAAAGTTTTCATGGATTTCGGCGCATTTTTCAAGGACTTTTAATAGAATTTTCAATAGATTTCTATGGAAATAATAACGGACATACGGCTTTCGCCGTATTTCCTATTGATTCTCCACAGAAATTTCCATCCCTTTACAAGTTCTCCTAAGTAATACTATAGAAATTCATATACGTGCAAGGCCATATTGATTCCAATCAACTCAAATAATAACGTGATGAATCATATAAAACCTATCAAATTGCCAGGCGCGCGGACGCGCCTTCGATCTCGTTTAATAAAATTTGATTGGTTTATGAATAATCTTCATTCTGGTTCAAATGCCAATAAGGTTGATACTATTGGCTTGTGGTAACTGAAATAAGAAAGGTATCTTTGCGATTATAAGGTATTCAATCTTCTCAATTAATTCATTCTGATATACTGTGTTCTTCTATGCAGAAAGAAATACGCGTGATTTTTTTTAAATTCCCCTCGCAATCTTCATAAGGGTCACAAGGGTCAAAACTTGTCACATAAAACCCCGAGATCAATCCGATTAATCCCCTAAATCCTTCAACCTCCCAAATTCGGAGTTTCTCCCCTCGAAACACGAAACAGATGATCATTAATTTAACCCCACACGTCGCTCTGG